CTTTATTTTACTATTCCTAATTGCCATCTAAAAGATTACTTAGAACTTACATGATGTTTGGATGGGTGAAGGTATTGTTTTCATTTTGGAATTATTAAAAACGTATGCTTCTTTTAACAATATTTTTTAATTAACAGATAAAATTGTATGTATTTATTGTGTATAACATTATCAAATGTTTTAAAGTGTATAAAAACAACTCCCTTGTATTAAACCTAGCGATAGAAAATGAATCTCACTGGACTGGTATTACATTTGATGCCTTGGCCACAAATCTGTTTTGTGGCTTCAGTCTGAACTTTTCTGAGCTTTTTTTCTTATCATTTATAAAATTCAAAATCTGTTTCCTGCATTCTTTCTATGTTACATTCTAACGCTAATATGCTGTCATTTTTTTTTTTGAATTTTATTGAAAAAACTCCTCTTTCCTCTTTATAGTCAATTATATATTTGCATTTTTGGATTAAAACAAAAATTTATATTTTTCTACTGGCATGTTTTTAATTCTTGAAACTAAAAATTGAAAACCCATTTTTAAATTATGACATAAAATGACAAACTGGTGGATGTTTCCATCTAAGACATGAAACATTTATATTTTATCCATAAATTTTTTTAAAGCCACCAAATTTCGAAAACTTATCACATGTTCGATTATTGACTTATGTCACTACTGAGCTCTACAGGCTCTGTCTGAGTGACACACCTGTTTTATGCCCGGTCTGCAAATGAATTTCCTCAGGAGGCAGGTGCCATCTCCCTGCACAAACCGCAGACAGTGCTTTGTCCAGAATTTGACAATTGCCATTTATATGGTTGGGCTCTTAGAATTTAATAGCGTATATACTATGTCCTTCCTCCTCCAAAACACTTCGGAAGCAAGTTACCACATTTGGGACGGTATCTGGATATTTTCCACCAAATCCTTTAGAAGCTCACCCTAACTTGTGGGAAAATTATTGCTGGCCTGTACCATCAGCAGACAAATATTTAAGAGAGAGAAAAGAAACGAGAGACATGGAGTGGTTCTTTTCCTTAATTTTCCAGTTTCTCAATGTCTTCACTATAACCTACCCTCTCCAGCCGCTCCTCCAGCTCACCCAACCCCTGGGAGGTGGCGTGCATGTGTGACTTGCAGCAAAGAGAGCCAAGAGTGGGGGCAGGGAACCCCCCGGAGGCGCCGCTGACTAATGTGATTCCATAAATCAACTAATGGGAGAGAAACCAGATCTGTGTGGTCTCTAATGCTGTCCCACAGAGATCAATCATGTCACCTGAACAATGTTCAGGTGACTAAGGGGCTGGGGTTGCCCACGGGACAACTTTATCCCTTGGGCCATATCAGATTGGGATATTTTAAAAAGTTACATTTTAGCATCAGAAATGTAAGAGCTGTGAATAAAAAAAACTGAAGGATTACTTCTGCAAGAGACAAAGTGTTGTTATATATCTTATTATCATAAGGATCTCCTATATAATCCCACGTCTCTTAAAATATCCAGGCATTTAACACTGATCATTTAGAATACAAGTTTTTAAAATAGGTTTTGTCACACAAGGGGCATGCAGCGTTGGCAATGACGGCTTGGAACAATTAGTGGCTATTTTTAATAGAGCAATAGAATAAATACACAGTGCCATATGCAAACATACGGTGCAAGATATAGAAAAATGAAATGCTTTACGTGCATTATCACACTGATTATTATCAAGGGGTGATTTTATAAACATTTTTCTAGCATGGAGATGCTTTTAAAGTGAGACTAAGCATAAAAATGTATTATAGAAACAACTAAAGCAGTTTTAAAAGGAATGCTAGAGGGGAGGCTTTAGAAAACCGTGGGTGAGCATCGCACACGTCCACGTGAGTCTGTCTTAATTTCAGTTCACTCACCCGAAAAAATCTGATTACGCCTCCAGCCTTTGGGATGAGGACAAGTCAAAGGGAAGAAGGACACAGGAGGCGTGAAGTGACAAATAAGAATATATGTTACGATTATGATCATGATGTTCACGGATGCTCGTCATTCAAAGCCAACAAATATTAGCTGCAAAGTTTACACCCGAAAGGCACAGGTCCTAGCCACAATGAATCACCAAATCACTACGCTCGGCCAGGAGTCCAAGCAATCTCTAAAACGTTTCCTCAGAGGATGGTGGACCAAATCAGGAGGGAAGCCAGGTCAGCAGGGGGACTTTCCACCTCCATCCAACCCCTGCTCCAGCCTTGGTTAGCGACGTCAGCCCGGCTGGCTTCCCACAACCATAACCGTGAGGTTACCGTGGGTTTACGGCAGTCATACTGCCATTGCCTTTTTTAATGACCTAGATAGAATCATAGTCAATTTTAAGAACTTTTTTTTTTGTCTTTCTTTCAGGCAAACAGTGTTCCATTGACCATCCGAACCTTGATTTGCAACGCACGCTCTGATGAGGAAGGGGTCTGCGGTCAGGAAAAGATCTTGAGAGTTCTACAAAGGGAGAAATTTTCTTCTCCTTTCACACCTCATCTTCTAAAGATCAACAGAACTTCGTGCATGAGAATTTTACGAAAGAAGAAAAGGTGATTTTATGGGTTTTGTAATCAAAATAACTGAAGAATCTGAACATCGCAATGCACTTGAGGGAAAACTACCAAAAGAAAAAAGAAGGAAATTTATGAAATGTGTTTAGACTGACACATCGGCATAGAAACTTGTGCAGAAAACCTATTGGTGCTCATATCAAGCTCCTCCAGAGGGGTTATTTGCTATATAAATAAGAATTATTCCGTGGTTCCATCCACTACCTACCCACACAGTGCCATGGGTCTAACTAAACATCAGGTCTAATGCTAGAACCACATCTACAATCCTAGATACTACATTTCAACAGGAAAAATAACAGCATGTAGTCCTTATCAATTGGGCATTAGTAGGAAATTTTAATATGAACCGAATTTTAATTTCCAATGGTCCTTAAGACCCAGAGAAGTCACAAGAAATTAAATGCAGAAAATAGAACTCCAAAGCTAATACCACCTAAGAAACTATACGGATTTGCATCATAGTTGCTATTATCTTTACTTAAAGAGAGTCGCCCAAGGAAATGTAATAAATCACCGTGGAGTAAAGTTAAAGTTTCAACCAAGAGATGATTTCTCTTATTAAGAGAAATAAATGCAGTATTTCGAAGGAGCTGATCATAATCAATAATGATATCGATATAATTCTGATATTTTTGGAATCCCAAAGTGTTATCTGCTTTGATTTATACAAATAAGTTTTTTAAAAAAGTGTATTTTCTTTGTGTTTAAACCTGTAACAAAGATCTTTAATCCTTCTCTTTATCCTTTTAAAGACCACTCCTCAGTTCTTCACAGTGAAAACTCCTCTAAACAGTGCTCACAATTTTTAAAAGAATGCACAAGTATCCTTCTTCTGACACCTCATGAGAGCCACTCTCAGCCTACAATCCAGACCATGATGCTAAACCCACCGCCTACAGTTTCATGTATCTATGAACATTTAACATCTACTCTGTGAATTTTATCAAGGGACTAACTATGATTATTTGTCTGTATACCACCAAAACCGTTTACCTGTGATTTTTCACCTTTTTCCCTTTCTGTTTTGATCAGGACACCATACGAAATTTCCATCAAACATATCAATCTTTGAATTTAACATAATTAAAAGCCTAATTTCACAATGACTTTGGTGGTCGCTCACCTGTACAATGTCTGCTTTAAGGACACATAGGTAAAAGAAACTATAATTGACCATAGCAGGTATCCACCAAAACCGCAGTGGGTGCATTGAACAATTTTGCAGCCACAGAATAACGGTTACTTTGTCAAAGGCAGAGCCCCAGGGAAACGCTTTTTGTTTTTCGATAACTGGAGTCTCAGAAATCATTCATTTATGAAACTATATAAAATAACGTTTAACCAAAATCACCATTACCTGTCCTGAAATTAACCAATGGCATCCCTTTAATTAATTCTAAGTCACGCCTCCTTGAAAACTGCAGGTGGAGATCAGCTACACTCTATACTATTTCCACTTTCTCAAAAAAAACATCAGCTACGTAGAAAATACCATAGGAAACAGAAACATGCTGCCATGGTGAAGAGGAAAACTATTCTAGAAGGGGTTAGCAACTCCTCTTCTGAATCCAGGTATTTCAGCTTCAGTGATCACTGCTGCGCTTTGTTTTATGAAAACACGGGCCTGTGTGCCACAACCTGTGTCTTCACTATTCTACCCGGGCCACTCCTGGGTCTGTTAGCCAGTGAGTGTGTACAGGATGAGTCCTCTGGGCAGAGACGCCCCCTCTTTTTTAACAAGTGGGGGGGCCTTTGAAGCCCCCAAAGGGAAGGGTTGAGCATATTGAGTGAGAAACTTCTGATTCTTCAAGCCAATTGCACTATTTCCCCAACAGAGGTGCAAGGGTGGGGGGGGCGCCCTGCCTGGTGGGGGGCAGTGCCACGTGCAGTGCAGGTGGGGGCCCTGCTCTGCAGGGGGCGGTGCCAGGTGCAGTGTAGGGAAGCGCCCTGCCCTGCAGGGGGCGGTGCCAGGTGCAATGTAGGGGGGCGCCCTGCCTGGCTGGGGGCGGTGCCGCGTGCAGTGCAGGGGGGCGGTGCCGGGTGCAGCACAGGGGGCGGCCCTGCCTGGCAGGGGGCGGTGCCAGGTGCAGTGCAGGGGGGCGCCCTGCCCTGCAGGGGGCGGTGCCAGGTGCAATGTAGGGGGGCGCCCTGCCTGGCAGGGGGCGGTGCCGGGTGCAGTGTAGGGGGGCGCCCTGCCCTGCAGGGGGCGGTGCCGGGTGCAGCGCAGGGGGGGCGGCCGTGCCCTCCGCGCCCCCCGCGACGCCCGCTCACAGCCCGGGCGCAGCCTCCGGGAAGGCGCGCTGCACGCCGCAGCCCGCCAGCAGCCCCTGCAGCGGGGAGGGCGCGAGCAGGGACGGGGGCAGGCTCGGAAACAAGAAATCGTCCCCTCTGACCTCTAGCGAAGTGCCAGGTTTTTTCTTGAGCTCCTCGCATTTCCTAAACTTGCAGATCTGGTGTCCCGTTTTGCGGTTCCTGCAACTGCTGCAGACGCCGCAGTTGATGAGCCTCTTGCAGGGCACGCACACCCCGCAGCGCTTCCGCTTCTTCTTGGCGGGCGTGGCGGCGCCCGCGCCCCCCGAGGACGGCGCGGAGGAGGCGGCGGTGTGGCCCTGCGGGCAGTCCGCCAGGTTGGCGATCTGGAACGCGCTGTCCGAGACGGCGGCCGAGGCGGCGGCGGGCGAGTGCAGCGCCGTCATGACGATGACGCCGGGCGGCAGCGAGAGGCCGCCGAGCGCGGGCAGCGCGGGGAAGGTGCCCACGCGCTCGGGCAGGTTCATGAGCTCCGCGTCGGCCGCGCCGCACTTGAGCTTGTTCACGCACTCGCCCGCCAGCGGCCTGCAGTGCTCGGGCGACAGCGGCGACAGGAAGTTGGCGTTGGCCATCTGCAGCGCGGGCTCGGGCGCGCAGCCCGCCTTGCCCAGCCGCGGGGCGTCGCCGCGGGGGTGCGCGCCCGTCCTGCCGCCGCCCGCGGGGGGCGCGGCGGGGGCGGGCGCGGCGGCGGCGGCGGAGGAAGAGGAGGAGGAGGAGGAGGAGGGCTTCCGGCCCCCCCCGCCCCCGCCGCCGCCGCCGCCGCCGCTGCCCCAGAGCATGGCGGTGGCGGCGGCGGTGGCCGCGTTGTCGCAGTTCCACGGGGACATGCCGATGCGCGCGGCGGCCGCGGCGGCGGCGGCGCTGCCCGGGAAGATGGGGGTGGTGATGCGCGCGATCTTGGCCGCCTGCGGGAAGGCGCCGCCGCCGCTCTTGTAGAAGGAGCTGGCGAACGAGCGGTAGCGCTCCACCTCCGAGCTGTACTCCGCCAGGCTGCCGAGCGCGCCCTCGGGCAGGTGGCTCTCCTTGGGCAGGCCCGGCGCCTCGGGGCCCGGCCCCGGCTCCACGCAGACGTTGGTGTTCATGGTGCAGGGCGGGAGGAAGGGGTGCAGCGTGGAGGTGGGGACCGCCCGGTCCGACCCCGGGGCGGAGAGGGGGGAGGGGGCGACGGCGGCGCCGGCGGGGGCGGGGGGCGAGGCGAGGGCCGCTTCACTCCTCTCCCGGGCGCATCTCCGCAGACGGCGAATCCCCGGGCCGCGTCTTCCTCTGCATTATCCTCCGACTGTTACAACTAAAATAAAGAAAGTCATTTCCAGCGCGCTGCACGAGGAGAGAGATTAAAAATAAACACACACACAGCAGCCTCCGTCACTGCCCCACCGCAGACACCGCCGGCTCTCGCAGTCCTCCGTCGGGTCGTTTGCATGACAATCACCGAGACACGACCCCCCGCGCCCCTCCCCCCAGCGCTCCCAGCCCCCCGCCCCCTCCCTCCCGCCTCCCCGCTGCAAGCCACAGCTCCTCCCCCCTAGTCTCATCACCCTCCTGAGAAAACGCATTAATAGCCAGGGGACCCGGGGAAGGAGGGAAGCCGGGTGACAAATGCCGGAGGAAAAGGCAATTGCAGCGCTAAAGACATGCAAATCACGGGTGGGAGGGCGACGCTACCTATAAGCAGAGGGCATTTAAACGTTATGAAATGTGTGAACGAGTGCTGCCTGGGCATGCAAACGCTGGGAGCAGAAACCAGCCATGGCCCTAGGAGGGAAACGCACAGGAAATTAGCAGATGAAGTGCTGAGAAAGTCTACAATGCATGCGAGTATAAACTGTAAGCAAACACAATACCGCTGAGAGCTCAGAAACTGCCCACATACAATCTGAACTGAAGAGGCAGGGAAAGAAAGAACGACCAGCTGCCACGGTGTCCTTCTGTGTCTGCGGTCGTTAGTTTGAATCCCAGCACAGCTGGCTCTGTTAGGGTCTTAATTCAATGGGCCAAGGACAGGTCTCAATTGTACAAGCCATTTGGTGGTGAGGCTCGGGGTGGGGGGAGTAAGAGGATGGTGTTCTACTTGTTTAAAGGAGAGGAGGAAAATGATGGACTAGATAAAATTAAAGAAAAAAAAAATACAAGCAATGTCACAGGTTTTAAACCAAGCGCCTGCAGCCTCTGTAAGAATATTCCCAATCATTGCTAATGAAGATTGCTGTCTCTTCCCAAGACAAGAGGAAAGCAGGGGACTTTTAATAAAAGGATTTCTCACAATCACTGGTTTTTACATGGAGTAAAAAGGGGGAGATTTCTTAAGGCATTGTTCATCTGAAGAAATAACCACTAAAAATGATTTTCTTCTTTTGCTCTTTTTAGGAGGAAAGTTTAATGTTAACTGGGTATTTGCATTCATCTCTTTGCTTCCAGGCCATTATTATGCTTTAGGAAGAGGTATTTTAGTTGTTTATTACAGAGGGAGAAGCACATCACAGCCTTTCAAGAAGTAAAGCAAAGACATAAAGTGTATATTCACCTAAAAAACCGGTTTCTTTGTTTCCAGATTTTTTTTTTTTTTGCCAGAATATCTTTTTGTGACATCTTTGGAAGTCCACAGATTGGTCTAGAATGTGGAGTTCAGGGAATTCTTCATTGGGGGCCCAGCAGTCTCAGTCTCAAATATTCAGAGTTCAAAATGGTTATCAATTACAGTAATTATGCTTATAATTAGATTAATGAGCCATTTGTGCCCAAACTCCAAGTGCAAAAACTTCAAGACCTGCTGATGAGGTACCCTAAAAAGAGGAGTTTATGTAAACAAATCCCTATTAGGCAAAGTAAATCAAGATAAGGAACCTCACCCCAGGCTGGGTTAGAAGCTAGCAGGCATCTTTCAATCACAGCAAGTCCCTAATCACTCAGGAACCACCTCTGTGGTTTCGCATTAGGGAAAACCTCCCTTCTGAGGTCTGATGGCCATACAAAGGGTGCCCCCAAAATGCTCCTGGCTAAATATTCTTGATGCCTGGAAGGGGGCAGGGGAAGACACAGCAAGAATATGCTTATAGCTTCAGTTTCTGAGAATCACATTGTAACTGCAAGACCATAATAACTGCTACTCAGTAAAAACTAGTTATGCCAACCATGCATTAGATATCATCACCCTGAGCAGAGGGGAAAATTTCAACATTTTAGTCTTTGACCTTGTTCCAAATAAAGAAATAATTGCATGTCCCTTTTTCAGAGTCTTAGAGTGGTGTTTCCAAACAGAAGCTTTCCTTGCTTTTCTGATTGCCATCCCCTCCCCCCTCGCTACCTCAAGGTTTAATGCCACCAGAAACTGTAGAAAATGGTTATGCCCAGTATCCAGGTCATTATTGTTTAATCAATGCCTGTCTGGAGCATGAAAATAGGTACCTAACCCACAGCTATTGTTTGGATTTTATTTAAAAACAAAATAAAACACACACAAATAACTGTAGTCCTATGGCAAAGCTAAATCAGAGATCCACACTTCATGATCCTGTTTTGCCTTTACACAATGTGGCTGTACATACCTAATACCATATGTCTGGTCTACCAGAGACACAGAGATCAAAGGTCATATTTAACATTCAGGAGGAGGGGCGGGTGCCGATTAATTAATAAATTAATACAGCGACGCTTTTCATTGCTGGAGTCCAGCATTAATATCTACTTTCACAATCCCCAACGGACAGCAAACATTTAAGAGAAAAAAAAAAAAAAAAAAGCCAGAGAAAGAGAAAGAACAATCACTTACCAGTCTCTTTTTATTTGGGGAAGCCTTAGAATTTGCAGACGCTGCCAGTCTGCCTTTAATTAGTTGCACATCACCCCCTGACACAAAGAAACACAAATCCAGATGTGTCTTGGCAGCTCCCAATTACAACTTTAATACTTGTAAACAAACTGTTGGGGAGGGGGGGGGCGGATAAATAAATATGCGGATCCAAAAAAAAAAAAAAGATACCTGTAAATGGCTTTTTTTTTTCTTGTTGCAGAGAGGAGGAGGAGGAGACGGTGTGAGTGGTGGTGGGGGCGGGAGGAGGAGGAGGAGGAGGTGGGGGGGACGAGCCGGGCGTGCGTGTGTGCGGGCGCGGGGCTGTCGCCGGTGGTCTCTGCTCTCCCTGCGCGCTGCTCCCGTTCGCGTCCGGCCGCCGTGTGCGCGGGAGGGAGGGAGGGAGGGAGGGAGGGAGCGGGAGTCGCTCCCCCGCCGCCCTGCGCTGTTTGTGTGTGTGCGAGCGGCGGCGGGGGAGGGG